TCATAGCCATGCTAGGGTCATGGCACGCCAAGCATATATGCTGTTGATTCACTTTAAGGTCCGTGTTTCAGCAGTTATGGGACCACTGAGCACGCGAGTTTCTGGGCAGTAGCAGGCCAACTCACCACGTGCTTTTCAGGGCTTCCCTCCACTACTCACCAAATGTGCAAAACTAGAATGAATCTTCTGCTATAACATGGAACCATACGCTGCCATATATTTTGTCTTTTGTGCAAGTAGGGACCAGTGGAGCAAGGCCCTTAGGGCCGCTGCTCGTAGGAAAACGAAACGAAAGAAAAGAGAGAGCGACGGTAGCAAGTAGTTGTAATTGTGACCCATAACTGCTGGAAAGCGGACCTGACTTCGGATCCAGAAGATATATTGCTGGCCTGCTTCGCTCTCACACGAAATTTGCGGAACGTCTCTTGAGATATTGGACCCTTGCAGATGCACTGCTGGGGTCCTTCAGGAAAAAGACTATTCAATAAGGAATATGTGGGCCCAATTTTTTTTTCTGTCGTCCTCCTCTCTTCTTGTCTTCCTCCTCCTCGTCTCCTCCCCCTCCTCCTTTTTGGGTTATTTATTTTTATTTGGTCCACTTCCCCATTAATGCGTGTCATCTTGGTGCAGGGGCCATGCTAATCTTGCCCTTGGGACATTCATTAACATTGGAAGGAAAAGATTAGCATGGCCCCTGCACATGGATGACATGCTTTAACTGAGAAGTAGGAGATTCGGACCAGGATCTGGACCAGGGGTCCAGACCGGTCCGGAAATTCCGGAATGTTCCGGTTTTCCGGAAGTCTGGATGGCCCCGGGAGGTCCGGGGTCCGGGGTCCGGAATCGGTCCGGTGTCCGGTCCGGCGTAGCTATGGTTTTGAGAACGAGTGGCGGCGCGGGGGGGCGCCGGGGGGAAGGAGAGGGGGAGGGGATGGGGATGGGGATTCCGGGCAAAAGTTGAAGACATGAATTTGCATGCGAGTTGTTTCCGTTAAGACTTACACCTCCTCCCTTATCTGGCCCTTAGCTTTTATGATCCAACATGGCAAACAATCGTCTGTTTTTGCAGCATTGATTCACTCTTCTGATCATCTCAGCACCACAAGCACCTTAGATGCGAAGTTGTGAACTATGTGGGGAGCGATGGAAACGAGCACGCCAGTACCAAAAAGATGGAAACGAGGGTGCCTGTACCAACAAGTATTCAATCATAATCATTCTCATCTGTTTTCCTTTCTTTTAATTTTATTTTATATTATATTTCTCTTTTCAGCATGAAGTCTTCACATTGAACCAGACATGCTGGAGATCAAGCAAAGGTAACCGAGAGACTGCCACGTGGATGGTCCTGGCTACACAGAGAAAAACAAAAAGAGCATGCAGATTAAGAGAAACAGAAAAACATCGAAGTGGCAGATAAAAAAAAAAAAGACCATGCAGATTAAAAAAAAAAAAAAAGACGTAGCAGAGAGATTGCAATGCAATGCAATAAAAGTCCATGCAATGCAATGCGCAATAAAATAGATAATATAATAATATATATTTTTATTATTTTGCTCGTGTTTATCTGCATCGTCTTTAATACTCTTTATATCTATTATCTATTTTATTGCGCATTGCATTGCATGGGCTTTTATTGCGTTGAGGTAAAAGAGAGACCTGTATTCCAGGAGGTGGAGAAAAAAAGTTCAAAAACAAAACAAAGCCTCAAGATATTGAAAAAAGGTAGCTTACCGCCGATGCAGCCACTGCTAAAGTATTTGGCATCGGGCTTTGGAGGTTCTTTGCCAAGTACTTGGAATAGGCCTCTTTGTTGAATACATTCTCTGCCTGGAATGATGGATGGAGTAAGGAGTAACGAGCAGCAAGCAACAGGACACAGGACACAGCAAATTATCATAAGCACGGAAAAAAAAAAGAAAAAAAAAAGGGCAGGGTGTGCTTTTCCAGCAGCTGCAGCTCCCCACCAATAGATTGCAGCCTTCTTTTTTTTTCATTTATTTTAATTATTTACTTATTTTCTAGGCTACCAGAGTGGCCCGGGGTCACTTGCCCGGCCGGGCCAAAAAAAAAACAACATTATTTTTAAATTTTATTTTTATTCTAAAAATTGGTGAAGAATTTCGATGCGACCCTGTGGCAAAAGTTGTTCAGTTTATTAAGCAGAGTCTGCTGATGTTCATAGGGGAGGGGACCTGAGGGGAGGCACAGGGATTGGTCCTGTTGGCATGGTCCCCTAGCCGGTATCGCCCACCTGCAGGTCAGGAGCAGCCCCCGCATGTTCTCTCGTGAACACGGTTCTGGCTGCTACGGGGTTCCCCGTATGCCTACAAGTAGGAGTAGTGGTAGGTAGGTAGTGTGAGGTGAAATTGAGAGAAGAATATAGCTTTAAAAATAAAAATAAAAAGTTGTTCAGTTTATTTTTCTGCATAACATAGTTTTTTTTTCGGATTTGTTTGATTTTTTTTTTTGTTTTTTTTTTTTGGCTGGGACCTTCCCTGGTCCTTGCACGGGCTGGCCACCCGGGACCCGGGCGGCCCGGCTGGTAGCCTAGCTTATTTTTAAAAATGTTCTTATGGTCCTGGCTCCAAATCCGTCCTGGGGAGCATCAGTTCGTTTCGCCTTCTTCTTCAGATCTTCTTCTTCGTCTTCTTCTTCTTCTTCTTTTTTTTTTTTTTTCCATCGTTCCAATTCCTTTTCCACCAACAAATTGAGATTTAATCATTTAATACAATATAACTCATGCACACTTCCTTCCGCCTGGCCAAAGGACCCCTGATCAGAATTGACTGTCACCTTGCCATTCTCATTATAGTGCAAGTAATATGAGCGAGAGCGATAGACAGAAATCCAAATCGCAAAATCACAAAGTAGTCCGGATAGTCATGTACCAAGCAGAGAGCACAATGCACCAAGATACCATCCAAATAAGAGCACTACAATGAATTCAAATGTCAATGCTGACGCTCTCTGGACACACCAACATAGTATCCCATGTTGCTCCGACTGATTGGCCCAGCGCCAAGCCTGCTCTACTGAGCCTATCTAGCGTATCTACGTTCATGCAACAAGATCGCATGGAAGTCGAACACCAATGCACGTGACCTGTCTCCCCACTGCATCCGATTCATGATGCTTATTGTCACCATAGCACGGCATTTCCGGCAATCATTACTAGGACATATATATATCATATATATACAGGGTTATCGGCGTTCGGGATGGCCCGAACGCCTGAACATACGGGACCCCTTCGAACGGCTGAACGCGGACCCAAAAAAAAAAAAAAAAAAAAAAAACGTTTTTAAACAATTCCGCAAAAAAACATATGTTATGGAGGAAAATAAACTAAACAACCTTTGCCTGGGCACTACATCCAAATTCTTTACCAAATTTGAATTAAAAATCAAATACAGAAAATTTATAAACATCTAGATGTGTATAAGAGACAGGTGTGTGTGTGTGTGTGTGTGTGTGTGTGTGTGTGTGTGTGTCTGTCTGTCTGTGTGCAAATGCATCTGTGTGACTGCCTCTCTGCGCTTCCAAGTACTCTTGCAGTTTTGGCATTCTCTGCAGGTTTTGCCTCTCTGTTCTCCCAAGTACACCTGCAGGTCTGGCCTTTTTCCAAGTGCTCTTGCACGTTTTCCGTCTCTGTTCTTTCAAATACTCCTGCTGGCAGATGTTCTGCCTCTTTTTTCCCCCAAAATTGTCTCAATCCCGGTTTTATAACCCGAAACTGCTTTTGGAAAAAAAAAAAAAAAAAAAAAAAAAAATCTCAAAACTTCCAAAAGTGAGTCAAAAGTGCATGAGGAAGATTTCGTTCAGAACGGAATCTTTGTCATTGGGGAGTTTTGAGCATGGCTACGATCCGGACCACCGGACAGGGATCCAGACCGTCCGGGGTCCGGGGTCCGGGGTCCAGGTCCAGATCTCGGTCCGGATGTCTGGGCCCCAGCCCAACGGGCAAATTTTTTTTGGGTGGTCCAAGGCGTTTGTTCACGCCCTGGGCCGCCCCAAAAAAATGTCGCCTGATTTTTTATCCCCCTCGCCAACGATCCGGAAGGCCCGGAAAGTCTACGAGGGGGTTTGGTAACTTTGGTTTTGTTTCCTACCTGCGGGGCAAGTGTGCGGTGCACCCAGAGCAGTGCAGTGGTCACGGATGCGCGAAAAAAAAAACAGTCCCTGTTATGTGTGAGAACACGAGAGAGAGAGAGAGAGAGAGAGAGAGAGAGAGAGAGAGAGAGAGAGAGAGAGAGAGAGAGAGAGAGAGAGAGAGTATTTTAGAAAGATGATTTGAATTGATTTCAAACTATCGAGTCATGGAAATCATAAGGCACAGACCAGCTAGAAATTTAGAAATTCGGGAAGGCAATTTTGAAGCTTTGCAAATCACAAGCAGTAGATCGAACAGAAAGATTACGTAAAAAAATTAAAAGTGCCGTGAAGTATTATTTATAGGTCAAATAGAATGATCAATTTTTTGAGTCGCGTGAATCGTAAAAGCTGGCATGTGAGGTGAGAGGGAAAAAAACACAAGCACTAGTTCACGAGTTGTTCAAGTCCAACACCACAACAAACCTTGTGATGAGACGGAAAAAAACAGAAAGGTTCTTTTCTAAGCCGTGTGAATTGTAAAAGCTGGCATGTGTGGTGGAATGGCACACGGTGACACGCATATTACTATTGAGAAACAGATCATTAGTTCAAATCCTGATGGTTCCAAGAATGCTAGGGGTCATCCCCTTTCTTTCTTACTTCCTTTTATTGGACGCGTGTCATCCTTGAAAGCAGGGGCCATGCTAATTATACCCTTCTCTGGATGGCTCCAATTTTAGCGGCGGATGTCCCAGGGGACGGGGTTCCCCGTTCTGCTTTCTCAAGAATAGGAAAAAGGGGGTTATCTCTTTTCCGCTATCCTCCCCTCTTGTTTGCTCTCTTCCTGCCATCTTCATCCTCTTTCGCTGACTTCTCTCTCTCTCTCTCTCTCTCTCTCTCTCTCTCTCTCTCTCTCTCTCTCTCTNTTGCACATTTGGTGAGTAGTGGAGTGAAGCCCTCAAAATCACATGCCGAGTTAGTAAGTCAGTAACCCATAACTGCTGAAACACGGACCTGAAATTGAAGCTACACCATATATATAGCTGGCCTGCTCGCTCCTTACTACAAGTCCAGTGACCACTCTTCTCCTGCCGACGGGACCCTTGCCAATCTTTGGCAAGGACCTTTTGAAGTGCCCGCAGGGGTTGTGTGAATAATTTCAAAGTCCTTTCCTCTCTCTCTCTCTCTCTCTCTCTCTCTTCAGCTTGTATACACACATCACAATTGCCTCTTTTTTTTTTTTCCCGAAAACATTTGGACCATTTATCGATTTATGTGTGTCATCCTTGGGCAGGGGCCATGCTAATCTTCATTCTCTGTATCGTTCCATTTTTAACAGATGTCCTGGAGGACAATTTTTTTTTTTTCTTCCCTTTTTTCTTTTTTGCTTATCTGCGATGAGCGCACCGGGAGCGCACACCGCATATATCCCGATACATTGGGTCCACAGCACCAAGTCATTATAGCTGTATTAGGAGCAACCTTTAGTCCACATACGATCATTTTTTGCGCCCATTCATTATAGCTGTATTAGGGGCAACCTTCAGTCCAGATACAGTCATAATGACAGGGCCTTCTATTCGGGCGAAGACCTTAGTAAAAGACCGCCTTGAACATAGTGCTGTTTTAAAACAGCATTTTGTTGCAGGTTTCCAAAGGACGTTTCACACTCTTGTTTTCTTCTTCTTCTTCTTCTTCTTCTTTTTTTTTTTTTTTTCTTATTATAAAACGACCACTCCACTCTTTTCCAGTACTACCTCAGGCGCTTGTTCCACCACCTCAGGTCTTGAACTCGCGACCTATCACACAATGGCTACGGGTGTGTATGAACGGGCTGTTGGGCACGGACATCCTTCAGTAATCCACAGACTCCACACTCCTCCTTTTCTTTTTTCAATTTCCAGAGGAGAATAATTGTGTATTCAACCTACCATCAAGCACTGCGTTGGCGACATCTGTGGCTTCTGCACGCGTCGGCGCAGGAACGTTAACCATGCTGTCCAGGACTCTGGTGACAATCACTGGCTTCGCAACAAGATTACACCGCCGAACAATGTATTTCTGAGCTTGAACGATCTGCAAAAGAGTAGAAGCAAATTGCGGAAGAGGGGGAAGGAGGGGGGGGGAGGGGAGACAACAACAACCGTTAAGTAGAAGAGAAAAATAAAGACATGAGTGCACTGCAGACAGTGGAGAGTCTATTGCCTCGTCAAAATGGAAAGGGGAAAAAAAAGCTAAAAAGAAACGTTTAAGAGAAATTATTAAGACAAGATAAAAAAAAAAAAAAACTGTGACGTCGCAGTCTTCACCAACATCGCACACATGTGATCAAAGTGGCAGCCAAAGATTGTCCTACGCCATGTGCTGAATTAGAACTTAGTCTTGACTTATAAGTTCTTACCCAGTCCGTGTGGCTGAATGACACACCCATTCACTGTTGTCAGACCGACCTGCGTTCCAATCCAGATAGACAGACCTGAGTTTGAACCCTGATAGACAGACCGCCGTTTGAATCTGCAGATAGACAGACCTCAGCTCGAATCCAAATGGACAGACCTAAGGTTGAGTCCTGATAGACAGACCTGAGTTCGGGTCCTGATAGACAGACCTGAGCTCGGATCCTGATGGTATCAAATGAATGAAGCAATTCTGCATTACCTGGGGCCGGTCAGTCCGATGGATGATCATACCTCAAGGCCGACTCCCCTCATAAGGGAGAGGAAGAGAAGGAAAGGGGAAAAAAAAGACAAAAGAAAAGAAAACCTCTTTTTTTATTCGATTCAAAAGACTCACGACATGTCAAGCCAATCCAGTCAATCAGCCAATATATGCGGCTAGAGAATGTGTAAGCATAGCTCCCTCTGCCAGTGATCAGATCAATGTCCTCTTCCCGCAGAAACTTCTGACCGGACAAACAAGAACCAATTCAGTTGAGGTGGAAACGTAGGAAAGGTTTAGGGCAGAGAGGAGCTGCTCACTCACCTTCTCAATAGGGATGGCCAAGCCAAGGTCACCTCGTGAGAGCATGATTCCGTCAGCCTCTTCTAAAATTGAATTGAAATGGGCGAGTCCCTGACAGGAGACAAGAAAGGGACAAAAAAACAAAAAAGCAACAACCAAATCAGGCATCGATAAGGGGGGATAACCAAAGAAATCCACAGAGAGAGAGAGAGAGAGAGAGAGAGAGAGAGAGAGAGAGAGAGAGAGAGAGAGAGAGAGAGAGAGAGAGAGAGAGAGAGAGAGAGAG